TCGATGATAATACTGAAACGAAAATGGAACTATTTATTCCGTTTTCTTTTGTCTATATTCATCTTTTAAATTAATTCAGACAACTGGGTCATTATCAGATGGGATGAATTCTCAGGATATCCATCACCAAGCGTCGAACAGAAATAAAAAGAAACAGTAAACAATTGTTTTGCATTTCTTATTATTAAGTTTTAGAAATGTTTCACTTAGCTATTTTAAGCACATTCGTTGCCAATATTCACCTATCTGCTTATTTGTGTCTCTACTTGCTATTCTTCTTCTCGGCGCGTGCATTTCTGCAATGCTTGTTGCCGTGATCGGCATCCCTAAAACGACAATAACAACAACAACAGCGACAACAACAACGGTAACAACAGCGACAACAACAACGGTAACAACAGCAACGACGGCAACAACATCAATATCAACATCTACATCAACATCAACATCAACATCAACAACAACAACCACAAGTAGAGTCGTTCTAATCAAATATATCATTTGTGAGAATAAAGATCTCACCAATTTTCTAAGGATTTGATGAAATGTGAAATACTATCTGTTTCAGAAGTGAAGGCACTCGAATGTTTCTTGAATAACTTTTGATAAAAACAAGGTAGAGATCTGCGGTTTTCGTCTTTTGATAGCCAAGACCCATAGGCATCTTTTCTTAAGCAACGTCTTTTCTGAAACGATCTTTCAAAATCAATTTTTCAGAGGATCTTTGAAAAACCACTCTAGAACTTCAAACATTACTATGTAAACCTATTGATTTTTTTACATATTCGTAATCAGCATGAAAAACTGAGTAGATCTATGTCGAATTCGAACGTTTTCGAGAACATTTTTTTCGTCGAAAAACTGAGCCCTAGAGAGCCTTCAGAACTAAAATGGGTCAAAAAGTCACTTAGACGGCTCGAAACAACTTCGAACTTTGTAAAATGATATTAAAATGCAAAATGGTGAACGAGTAAACAATAAAAACGGCATTTTCATCCACTTCAGTTTTTGAGGCACCCCTTGCGCACCAATTTTTCGACGAAAGAAAAAGTTCTCGAAAACGTTCGAATTTGACATAGATCTACTCAGGTTTTCATGCTGATTACGAATATGTAAAAAAATCAATAGGTTTACATAGTAATGTTTGAAGTTCTAGAGTGGTTTTTCAAAGATCCTCTGAAAAATTGATTTTGAAAGATCGTTTCAGAAAAGACGTTGCTTAAGAAAAGATGCCTATGGATCTTCGCTATCAAAAGATGAAAACCGCAGGTCTCTACCTGGTTCCTATCAAAAGTTATTCAAGAAACATCCGAAAGCCTTCACTTCTGGAACAGATAGTAGTAATGGGTCTCAGAAATCTTAGAATTCTCACTGAATATGAAGAACAAGCACACACTTGCTCCATTCAGTTGATACTGTTCCTTGTAGGTGTAGGAGCGACCAGCGCTTTAATTTGTCACGGGCGTGGCCATATTCAGGCAAGAATTGATACGACTCAGCCATAGAAGAAACTACTGTCCTTCCTTTTCTCATTGATTTTTTTCAGTTGAGATCCGAAGTAGAATCGGATATTTTTCTCGCTTTTATTCAAGGAAGTCCACATCCATGTATAGCCAAACAAGTATCTCTAGAGTCCAACAAACAAACAATTATTTTGCCACGAAGAAACACGAGTTACACCAGAAACTATGGCGATTTTTCTATTGGGGTCACAGCATATATGTCCGATTTCAGAAATATGTGATTACACATCCTGATACCTTACCACCCTGTCTTTTCTTTTTCTTATCGTCTACTTACTTGCCCTGTAGACTCCAGAGAGATGTTCATTGTTTCAGTAGAAATGTTCACTTTCAATCCAAATTTAGGGTTTGGGTGTGGGTAGGTTTTTTACCGCATCCACAGTCATAGCCATACCTACACTCACACCCTACCCACACCCACACCCACACCCACACCCACACTCATATCCTTTGGTTATGATTATGAGGTGTGAATGTTTCGGTTGGTTGTTTTGGTGATTTATTGTTGCGTTAGGCTCGATGCCCCTACTGCTCGGTTTGTTCCATTCGAACGGTGTTGTGATTTGTCTGAGTCTACTGCGGTTTAGTTCGGTACTCCGACAAGATACTCTTCGCTTCCAGTCTGTGTTTGATGGCTGTGTAGTTTTATTAAATCCCTGTTTGCGGTATCGTGATTGTGCTCTCCGTGATGTTCTTTTGAGGTGGATTGGTTTTGTCGAGAAAATCTGCACTCTAATCGAGAAGATGCGGCTCGAAACCGGACGAATCCTGGAGGAAATTCAGCGGATGCATTGGAGGAATAGAATTGATCCCGCAGGAAGAGTCTCGGAAACTGTTGATGTATGGGTGGATTCTGTCGGAATCGAGAGTTGAATTCCTTGTGTTTGAAAAGAATACGCTAAGTTCCGGATTGTTTTCGGGCGGATCTTTGTGTTATTCTGTTTTGTTTCCCGCAGTTTCCTTCGCTTTTCGATACTTTTCTGTCGATTTCCAGTTTCGGGATTGTCTTGGAAAAAAATTGTCTTCGGTACGATGGGTTTCCGACCCAAAATACTGCTTCCAAGTTCGGTGTGTTTTCTGGTCTGATTCTGCGGGAAACTCAGTGGATTCGGCAGACAACACGCTAGAAAAATCAGCGAATACGACCGGTTCCGGTCGAAATCAGTGCCCTGGATATAGAACCGAAACCCCTGTGTCTTAAAAGTTCTGAATCTTGGAATTGTACTAGTCATATTGGCTGTTCTGAGTTAGGTAGAAGTGATTTGACCTCATTTTATGTAGTCAGATGAGGATGTGATAGTCGTTATGCCTGAGATGTTCTGGTCGTGAATGAAAGGTCTTACACTTTGCATACTATTCTTTGGGTTGCGCTTTATAGATGATGTGTGGACTAAAATAAATTTTTGTTCTTAGTATTTTGACAATATCTCTTTCAGTTGTTATTGTTTATTACTAATTTCTTCGATCAGAATATTTAGTAATAAATTCTCTGCAAAACTGACAAAAAAATAGAAATAATCGAAGGGGACTACCGATATTTACTTTTGCGGGATTTATCTATTCAATGGGAAATTTTTAAGTATGATTACATCGCAGCACATCAACACTCGTATTCTCATCTTCATTCTCACTCTCACTGTCACCCACATATTGTATGTATTGAGAAATTATGTGGGATTTATCTCAAAGTACTTCTCGGGACTTATTGAAGAATTCCAATAAATTCTGGCAATATGTCCCGGTAGGTGTTGTCATTAGAGGTGTAAGCCGCCAACACGGTATCGTAGATAATTTTAAGAATTTTTTAGTCGTCGCCGCTGTGAAAAAGTTAGTTCAGCCGGTGCGCCGCCGTCGTTGACATCGATACATATGCGATGGATCATTTTCTCGACTTTTAGGAGCAAAAACGTTTTCTTTTTGATTGTCAAAGTCGCCGCCGGCGTAGAAAAGCATAAAGCCTAATAGGCGCCGCCGCTGTTTGACCCTTCGGCTTACACCTCTAGCTATAATCGAAGTAAAATTAAAATAATTGTCGCAATAACATGTTTCGTGTGGGTCATCAGTAAGTTTCAATAAGAAAATCTTTTTTTTTGATACTGCTGAATTGTTATAGTGGAGATTGCCGACAAAAAAAGCTATTTATTTTGTGGAGCTTTGAACGTTTCATCTCATGCATGTCATTGAGCCTTCTCACAAAGAAATCTCAGAGTATAAAATCGGCATTACTTTTTTTACAAACCAAAAAAATTGTTTCTCCTATAGATTTAATATCTATCAGAAGTCCATGTAATTCACTGTGGTGAAAATTCATTTTTCCACGTTAGTTTGATTTTCTTAAAAGATGATGAGTTACACTATTCAATTTACCTGGATTCTAAACCAATACTCTTTATCATTGATCATACTCAGTAAGAAAGTTCAATTTTGGAGATGTGGATCAGGGTATGGGGTGTGGGGTGTGGGTGGATGTACTGATCGTATTTTCGTCGATCCACACCCACACACCCATATATTTTCGAAGAAAATAGTGAGTATAAGCTTGAAGTCGAAGTTTTTAGGGCTCCCTTCCCTACACCCCATAGATGTGATAGACATGGTTATATGAATATGTAAGTTCCATATTTTAGTCCTAAAGGGGCTGCGCTAACAAGATTTTATTATGATTAAATTGAGGTTTTTTGCAACATTTTTTTAATAAATGATGTACTGCAAAACTTTTTCAAAGAGATATAAATAATTTTTAATATTGAACTAACATAGATAACTTCCCCTTTCACATAAAAAAAAATTATTATTCCGTTTTGTTAAAACATAACTGGATAGTAAGAATATCTTCAACCGCGGCTGTTGCATACTATGTCATCTAGGAAAGTACAAAAACTGTAATAAAAGTGTTTTTTTAGATACAATTAACTAATAAAATGAAAAAATACTAATGGAGTTTCATTCAAAGATGATAGCTCTACAGAGCAGAAGTATGCAAAAATTTTTGGAAGGCTATCGTAGAAGCTAGAGAGCACAGGGAACGTTAGTTTCGAAAAATGATTTTCTTATGGCATAACTTTAAGTAAAGTAAAACAGTTGAATATGTGAAATTATAGAACAATCTGACTTCTACAAAATGAGACGTAGCAAGCCTCTAGTAAATATTTGGTTCAATTACAAACAGCTCAATAGTGTTTACTCACTCTCGTAAGTACATATACGGAAAACGTTTCTGTTCAGTTTTATCATTTTTTCACATAAACTTCTTTTCATACGAAAACTTCGAACATTCCTTGATCAACTGGTAAAGAACCTTGAAGTTTAGCTAAGGAATAGTGAAAATAATTACGTTTTTTTTTGGATTGCATTTTTGGAACACTCTGTATATCAATTTACAGTAGAGTATTTTGTGGAATTTTTCTAAAAAGAAGTTTCACACCAGCATGTAACTGTATGCTCCTAACTATTTTATTTTCAGTTACTACAACTACTATGACTACTACAACATCGCTTCCACTCTGTAATTCTACTTGTGTTAAAACTTCAGTCTCTAATACATCACGTATTGCTTTCTACACATTTGATTCGGTTCTGACTGATTCAAGTGGTTCATCTAATACTCTGACTGGTACCTATCAATCATTTGTTACTGGTTATGTGAATAATGCCATTAGTTTCATTTATGCTAACTCACAACGCCTAACCTCTAGTCAAATAATGAATTTTTATCAACTATCATGGACAATAGAATTTTGGTTCCTAATGACAGCAAGTACAACGCAGGATTCATGCTTCTTTGGACAAACAATTTCAAGTACTAATGGTATGGAATTATTTTTACAAACAAAAAATAATTTGTTATACTTCGGTTTCTATGGTGATGACACGAAAGGTACGACGACCATTTCAACAAATACATGGTATCATGTTGCATGGGTAGTTGATTATACGAATCGAATTAGACAAATTTATTTGAATGGGTAACCGTTGTTTTTTATTTTTGTACTCTAATGGTTATTGACAGATAAACGCATTATAGCAATAATGAATGCCAAAATATGATTTATTTTGATCCTTTCTGTCCATTTGTATTACCTATTCAGAATCTAGAATTATAAAAAAAAGTTTTTAAAGGTTAGGACGTAAAATACTAGGGCATAAAATATTTGAAATTGACGACCGTTGAATCAACCTAAAAAATTGTATAAGGTCCATTGTTTTTTGAGAAAAATTTCAACTAAAAAAGCACTCAAAAACGAAAGCATTGATAGATAAGAAGCAGTCGTAGCAATTAAATAATTAAAAACAAATGTAAAACATATTGCATCATTGATGTCTTTACTCTATGTTCGTTCAGTAGTATATCCTTAAGTACAAGTTTTTAAGGTATCTATGAGAAAAAAGTCATTACAGAAATGTTTGATTATAAATTAATATATTCATTCGTATTGTTCTATCAAAAGAAATTTTGTCACTTCGTTTTTTTTAAACACCTTTAGAAAAGTTTTTCTATTCTGATGATCAATAAGCAACATTTTTAGATAAGAATTATTAAAAGTCAAGATTCAGCCAGCGAAAACATGTGTATATCATCCATTTCACCTTATCTACTGCAAAAATTTTTCAGTACATTTGTAAAATGGTTCAAATCAGTTTCAAACCAATTCAAAAAAAAACTAATTTTAAAGTGTTTCTCTAAATTTATTTGCAGTTGAAGTGATTCTATGTTCACTAGAATTCATCGGGTCCAGGAATTTTCGGATCCAGTCAACACAGAATTTCCAGATCCAAACCTGGCAGGTTCTAATATTCGCTTCTCAGTGTTTTAGATGGATTAGTCAGAGATCTTCAAGAAACATTCTTATAATAATATTTTCGTTAAGAAAGGAAGATTGATTCGAGTGTAGTAGGTAAGATAACTTGGCTTATAATCGTCTAAGTCTTGCGTCACGAGAGCTCCATATTTGTTCTCGTGTTGAAGCGTACTGAAACATTTAATCGATGCAAAAAATATGTGTTTTACATCTTTTATAGCGTTTCAAAATTGTTGAGCGATTGCTTTACAGAATCGCGATCTAGAGATCTTTGATTGGCACAAATTCATCAGAAAATTGAATTTTCTACAAACAAGCCTTCTAATATAATTAACGAAAACAGATTTCTTGGTAAGGAAATAGACGAAAATATATAGGATCATTTTTGATATTAAAGTGTTTTCATAAATTAGATCGCCTAACATTTCCGTAGGAAATTGATCATTGTCCTAATAACTTTCAAGCAAGAATTTTCTGGAGAATGATCTTTTAGTTGAGAAGATTATTTCTCAGGTTTTAACCTTGAGAAAAGAGATTATCAAAGTTTGAATCCTTGAAATTAAAGTTACATTATTTCTACAAAAAAAAAGTCTCTTCTCCTAAGTAATGAAACCACTTTTTTCATAGTCAAATATTCAAAATTCAATCTTAATTTACTTGATTTTTACATCTTCTCTGCTTAGATATACGTATGCTAATACAACAAATACTGGTTATCTAAATGTAGCTAATCGTACTGTTAGTGTTGGTAGTTGTCCTATTGGTGGAGGTGCCGCAGCACAAGTTTACTATAGTGGTTATCTCGATCATTTGAGTGTAACAATGCGTGTTAAAACTGCATGTGAAATTTTACAAGATGCTACTCTTGTTGTCTACTACCCATTCGAGAATTCAATCATAGATCAAGGACCAAATTTCATAGTGGGAACTCTATCGAATTCTGGTACTAGTTATACCAGTGGATACGTTGGTAGTTATGCACTACAATTAAGCACAACAGGTGCCTATTTTCAAATACCAAGTCTAACTCGATTGGGTATTACCAATCAAGCTTTTTCAATTGCACTCTGGGTGAAACCAAATGCAGTTAGTGGACCGTTAGTTCACGTTTCCTCAGCAATGAATGGTAAGTGTGTTTTTAAATGTTTTTTTTTCCCATGACTATCACATATTGAACTCTGTATATTTTCTATCTTTTGAAGGTTATGGAAGTTGGTGTGCAACCTTTCTTGGTTTTTCATCAAGTGGTCAAATTATTGCTAATGTTTGGACTTCATCACATACAATTGTTTCTGCTACTGGTCCTGTTCTACAAATAACTCCATTTTGGACACATATTGTTCAGACATGGTCAACGATAAATGGCTTACGTCTCTATATAAATGGTTATTCGTATGCTAATGTTACAAGTGCTACGTCTTATCTAGCTTCTGGAGTACAGAATTATTTGACATTAGGAACCATTTTGAGTGGTACAACATGTGCAGCTGGATCAATTCAGACCACTGGTCAATATTTAGGAGCTATAGACGATTTTCGTTTGTTTAGTAGAGAGTTGAGTGCCAGTGAAGTTTGTCATTTAGCAAGTTTATAAAATGTTACATGTCTTTCTTGAAAAAGTCATTCTTCGATAATAGATATCAGAACTAAATTTACGATCACAGTTTCGCTTGTTCACTTATATTTCTCAATTATACAATAAAATATAAATAACGAATTTTTTGTTAATTTATTTATTGTCATAATTGACAAAGACAGTAGAGTAATAGTCTTAGTTTAGCTATCAACTACGGCAAAAGTAAAAGATAAAATTTTATCTCAATTATAAGTCAAATAAGGCGGTCCCATCACTATCATCATGGCATAGTGAGGGTAAAAAAGATTGCAGAGAGCATAGGGGTTAGAGTGATGATGAGGGCGAAAGGAGTTACGCAGGTATTCCTTACTGAGTTATAAATGATAATTGAGATAAAATTTTACTCTTTGCTTTTACTTGTTGAGGGTGCTGGCGTGTTTTCGAAAACTTCATTTATATTCGAACTCGAATTAGGCAGCTACTCTTGATCAAACAAGATTTTTGAGTTCTTGTCTGATTCCTTTTTTTCTTGTATTTCTTGAGTGATTCTTTTTGTCTTGAAATCCTTCTTGATTTCTTTTTTAAGCGTTGTTTTAATAATGTTTTTATTGCAAACTCTAAAATCAATAATAATTTGATTCACTAATACAGATCACTAAAATGTATTTGTGCCATTAAATATTGTCATTTATCTGATATTGACATGCAACTCATACGTTGTTTGAAAAGAATATCTTGTATTTATTTAATTGAAGACAATAATCATTAAGAGTGAGCGTCTGAAGAAAACCAGTCACCTAAGGACATCAACGATGGTGTGATATCTTAGAATTTCCTGATAAGGGTGTGGGTGTGGGTGGGTGTGGGTGTGGGTGTGTGGGTGAGTGAGCGTGTGGGTGTGTGGGTGTCGATATGGGCGTGGGATGTGGGGATAAATGTCCATATGAGAAAACCTCTGATTGGCTCGATTTCGTCTCAGCGAAATCTCATTGGCTAAGAGCCCATATGGGAAAACTCCTGATTGGCTCGATTTCGTCTCCGCAAAATGTCATTGGCTAAGAGCCCACATGGGGAAAACTCTGATTGGCTTGATTTCGGCTTCGCGAAATCCTATTGGCCAAGAGTCCATATGGGAAGACCTCTGATTGGTTCGATTTCGGCTTCGCGAAATCCCATTGGTTAAGAACCCATAGAGGAAAACTTCTGATTGGTTCGATTTCGACTTCGCGAAATCTCATTGGCTAAGAGTCCATATCAGAAAACCACTGATTGATTCAATTTCCGCTTCGCCAAATCTCATTGGCTAAGAGCCCATATGGGAATACCTCTGGTTGGTCCGATTTCTGCTTCGCCAAATCTCATTGGCTAAGAGTCCATATGGGAAAACCTCTGATTGGCTCGATTTTGTCTCCGCGAAATCTCATTGGCTAAGAGTCCATATGCGAAAACATCTGATTGGCTTGATTTCGGCTTCGCGAAATCCTATTGGCCAAGAGGCTATAGAGGAAAGCCTCTGATTAGCTCGATTTCGTCTCCGCGAAATCTGATTGGCTAAGAGCCCATATGGGAAAATCTCTCATTGGCTTGATTTCGACTTCGCGAAATCCTATTGGCCAAGAGGCTATAGAGGAAAACCTCTGATTGGCTCGATTTCGGCTTCGCCAAATCTCATTGGCTAAGAGCCCATATGGGAAAATCTCTCATTGGCTCGATTTCGTCTCCGCGAGATCTCATTGGCTAAGAGCCCATATGTGAAAACCTCGGATTGGCTTGATTTCAGCTTCGCGAAATCTCATTGGCCAAGAGTCTATAGGAGAAAACTTGTAATTGGTTGGATTTCGGCTTCGTGAAATCTCATTGGCTAAGAGCCTATATGGGAAAACCTCTGATTGGGTCGATTTCGGCTTCGCCAAATCGCATTGGCTAAGAGCCCATATCGGAAAAATGTCTGATTGGCTGGATTTGCTCGACGCGCAATCCCATTGGTTGATAGCCCATCTCGAAAAACCTCTGGTGAGACTGGAAGTCAATTTGTGTGTATATTTTCACAAGGAACTCTTCTGAAGGTTAAAAAAACATTTTTCCGTTCTGTGCGAACGAACGAAGTTACGAACTAACGAACTTACGAAGTTACGAACATACGAACTTTGCTCGGTGTATGACCCTCCTTCCAGTAGAGGGAACTTCACTCTTTTGGGCATAATATAATTTTTAAAAATGCACGAAAAAATAGCTATTTGAATGAAAGAACAAAGGAGAGTAAATAATAAATGAGAGAGAGAAATAAAATCAATACGAAGAAATATGTGAACGTGTTCTGCATTCGGTTTGAACAATGTAGTGTAGTGCATGATATTGGATGCAATAGAATATGATTATAGAAAAATAATATATATAACTTCTAATTGGAAAAAAAACAATCTTTTTGTTTCTTTATCATTCTTCTAAATCGATCCATCATATCAGACTTGACTTCATTTTGCAATAATCAATTCTGCTAGCTGATGAGCTACTTGTGTGCCTCTTCGAACAGCTCCTTCAACGAAGCCACCAT